GTGGGAGCGCCGCCGCGCTTCCCAAGCGGCGCACTGTAGCAGTGCACCACCGGGCCGGCCCTGGTAAGAATTCTTATATCTCATCATTAAGAATCTTAAACTTGAATCAGAAGCAGATAAGATGATTTCTTCAAATTACAAGGAGAATAGCTTTCTTTTTAGATTTCAGTGGATTACAAATAGAATGATAATTATATTTTGTGTTGAATATTTTCATTGTGCTTCTAAGCTCTCTTATTTAGGTAGTCATGTATACATAAAATGATGTTCAGAGAACCCTTATATTTCAACTAAATAGTTTGATATATATTTTATTTCTTGGAATATAGCAAATAGCATATGTTAGAAACTGTAAATATTTGGGATGTAATTAAATATGAGTGAGTATTATGTATACTCATATTATAGACAAAGGAATGTGTTTACATTTCTAATAAGGAAGAATGTTGTATTAGCCAAACTGCTACAATAAATATGCCATTTGGTATCCGTACAAACTAGTGGGTTTTTTTAAAGCTTTATATAAGAAAAATTATTATGTTATAGATTATTTTAAATCAAGCATTACAAAATATTCCTAAGCCTTGTTAGAATAGGCATAAAAAATTTTCTTAGAAATTGATAGAAATTATTCTTTGTTACAGTCTTTGTATATGTTTGTAGGATTGAATTACAACTCCTCGTTTAATGTCTTATGTGTAATCTCTAGTGGTAAATTTTATTAAATGGGTGAATTAACTAGTTGTCTGGTGCTGGGAAAGATATAACAGAAGACTAGCTACAGTAACTGGAAATCATTTCATAAAGCAGTATTTTATCATCAGACACATCCCATATTATTACCTGCCACACTAATGTAGGCTGCTTCTACTCTGTGTTTTGAGAATTCTGAGGAACTTAGATTATAAGTTTCTTGAATGGGAGGGGTCTTGTTTTATAACATAGATTCTGACATATAGTAGGTAATCATTAAATGCTTATTGAATGGATAAACATGGATTTGCTCCCTTGATTGGGTTCCTTAGATTTAATGGTTGGTTTTTGTTTTGTTTTCTTTTTTGGCAGCTAAGTTCTAGCAAAATATGTATGAGGAGGTCCTGTGGGCCTCTTAGGGTAGAGAATGTGAATGCTTCTTTGTATATGTTATTTCTTAAAAATATTCACCAAAATATATTGGAGTTTGTTTAAAAAGGAAGTATTGAAGGGAGTTAGCTCATGTAACATGCTGCATGAGGGTAGGAAGTGTGTAAAACAGTGGTAAGTTAATAGGCACAAAAGGGCTTGTCACACCATGCTTCTTTCTTCAGGAGGGTCCTGTCCTCTGTCTGCTTTAGATAAGAGAGAAACACAGGCTTAGTTTTAAAAAGTACTTTGTCTCTGCTTAACACAGTAGGGGGGATGGTGTCACTTATTTCATAGTTAAACTTGTCATTGCTGCCTTGTACAAATGTAGTAATGGAAAAATAAAATGAGGTATCATTTCTCTCATGCCTTGGAGTACAATGATTCAGTGTTAGATTTTTAATCAAGAACCTATATGAACGCTTTAATAATTTAAGATAGGAATAACCCAGAGTAGCTTTTACATCCATAAAAGGATATTTCTTGAATGTCTGTTGATTTCCTTTTTCTTTATCACTAAACCAACTCATCTTTATTTATTAAGAGTTCTGTGTCAGTCTTTGAATTATAATAGTTCTACACAAAAAAAATTAAATAAATTCTTACTGAAAATATGTTATAAGACACCGGTCTCATCACTTTCTATATTACAAAATTGTAATTGACTGCAATGGCAAACCACATGAAAATAAAAAGGAAAATTTTTCTGTTATCTTTCAGAGCAATAGGAAAAGCATGGATCACCAATATGCATTTGAAGTCAATGAAATAGCAAAATAGTGATTTTTCTGCTGAGAGTGGTTGATTTGACATTACTAGTAATTTGTGGTGAATTAGGGCACTACAAGACACTTGATATATGAAAATTTTATTCTGTCCATGTAAAGTTCACCATGCACAATAGTTCTGAGATCATAATATTCATGTCCATGTTGCAATATTCAAACATATCCGTGTTTAGAGAGATGCCAATATATCCTTGATGTTGAGAGGTTGATAGAAAAAGATGTAAATCAGTCTTTTAAATGTTTTATAGTGAGCTGATCCAGTTTATTACAAGTGGTCCTATTATTGCCATGGAGATTTTAAGAGATGATGCTATATGTGAGTGGAAAAGACTCCTTGGACCTGCAAACTCTGGGGTGGCACGTACAGATGCCTCTGGAAGCATTAGAGCTCTCTTTGGAACAGATGGCATAAGAAATGCAGCTCATGGTCCTGATTCATTTGCTTCTGCTGCCAAAGTAAGGTGTTTTTAAAATATTTTAATTCTGTTTTAGTTTTGTTAAATGTTTTATGTCAAAGTAGACCATTTCAGCCACTGGTAACATAGGGTGATTTATACAACTGACCTACTAGTAGAGAAGACCTTTGACTTTTTGCCTTGGATCAAACTGTGTTTTAGTGATATGTTTCCTTTATGAACTGGTAACCTGGTCATGGTTAAATAAATTTTCTCCAATTAAAACACTTATCATAACACTTCTTTTCTAAAGACTTAAATTACTAAGGCTCATAAATGTTTGAATTGCTGAATTAATGTAAGAATACCAGTTTATGGATAGTAGATATTCAGAAAGAAGGGATCATTTGGTATTTTATTTCTTTGATTCAGACATATTACTATGCTTTGAAGCTTAAGATTCTTTTATTTTCCTATATATAGCAAGTGTTTATGAAAAAGTTTCCCTACAATTACTACTTATTTTAAATCCATATAAATAAGGTATTACTCCAAAATTGGACTTATACTCAGGTTATTTAACAAAGTGTAAGTTTATTGCTAACATCGTGAGCAGTTTCCTAGCTAAATTAATATGGTTCTTAATCTGGTCATGTTCATGTTTGCAATGAATAAATATTAGACAATTTTATAATAATTGATTTTTTTCTTTTTCTTACAACTCCATCAGCAAGTCCTTTCATCTCTACTTTCAAAATAGGCCCTGACTCTGATCATTGTGATGTAAATCACTGTTGTATTTTGCCAGGACTACCGCAATAGCCTCCTATTTCTTCTTTGTTCTTCCTTTACACTCAATTTATGAAAATTTTACCTTGCCTAAGTAAAATTAACTGTACCTAGTGATCTTTTTAACAAATCAGTTAACATTCACCTGTTGAGAACCCTTCAGTGAATTTCTATCTCTTGTGGAAAAAAATCTAAAGTCTTTATTGTAGCCTACAATGCTCTGCCTGATTTGGCCCCCATCTATCTTTACAACTTTATGTCCAACCAACCTCTACCTTAGTCACTGTGTTCCAGGTATACTGATCATCTTGCTATTCCTTGAATAGCATATTTCTGCCTGGAATATTCAACTAACTGCAAAGAGGGCAGTGTGCTTGGATGGAAATGAGGGAGGGAGGGGAAGTCACAGAAGTAATCAGGGGAGAGATCATACGGTCTTGTTGGTCATAGTATTTTTAGTAGTATTTTTTACTTAGAGAAAAATTGAGAGCCTTTTCAGGATTTTGACTAGCATGTTTGACTTGCCATTCAAAAGGATCATTCTGGTTGTTGCATTGAGAATGGCTGTAGAGGGCAAGAGTAGCAACAGGGAGCCTAGTCAAGAGTCTGTTGCATTAATTCAGGGAGATGATGGCTTGGACCAAGATGGTAGCAATGAGAGAAGTATATAAATATATTTAGAAATACATTTTAATGGTTAAAAGTCAAATGAACAAGATTTCCTGCCATATCGAATGTGGAATATGAGAAAAAGAGATATCGAGGATTACTCCAAAGTTCTTAGCCTGAGCAACTAAAAGGATAGAATTTGCATAAACTGAAATTGGAAAGGCTGTGGCTGGAGTCTGTGTGGATGGAAAGTCAGAAGTTACACTTTGAACATTTGCAAACTTAACATGCATGTTTGCTCTTTAAATAGAGGTTTTGAACAAAAAAAATGAATATGCGAGGTTGGAAACAAGGTCTGGGCTAAAGACATAAATATAGGAGTTATCAGCACATAGATGGTATTTAAAGCCATGAGACTAGTTGAGATTTCCAAACGGAGGGTGAAGATAGAAAAGTAAAGAGGACCAAAGATGCTGCTTTTACTCATTCTACCCCTCTTCCTTGGAATGCCCTCTCTCCCTTTGCCCAGGTAATTTTTATTTGTCCTTTGAAACTCAACTCAGAATTCTTTACATATTATGATGCAAATTCTTTATCCAACTATGTGATTTGCCAGTATTTTTTCATAGCATGTGGTTTGCATTTTCATTCTCTGTAATCGCATCTTTGGATGAGCAGAAGTTTTTACTTTTTATGAAGTTCAATTTGTCAATTTGTTCTTTCATGTATTGTGCTTTTTGTGTCACATCAAAGAAACTGTTGCCTCACCCAATGTCACAAAAATTGTCTCCTTTGTTTTCTTTTGGAAATTTTATAGTTTTAGGTTTTGCGTTTAGCTCTATGATCCATTTTGAGTTAATTTTTATGTATAGTGCAAGGTATAACCACAATTTGTTGTTTTGCATATGGATCTTTGATTTTTCCAGCACTATTTGTTGAAGACTATTCTTTCTCCACTTAATTGTCTTTGAACCTTTGTTGAAAGTGTATTGACTATATATGTGTGGGTCTGTTTCTTATTCTGTTCTGTTCTATTTATTTGTCTCTCTTCATACCGATTTTGCATTTATTAAAAAAAAAACAACATTCCAATTAACAGATTGGCAGAAGATTTGAACAGGAACTTTACCAAAAAAGATTTATGAATATGAATGGTAAATAAACACATTAAAAGTATACAGTATCATTAGACATTAGGGAAATGCTAAAACCACAATGAGATACCACTACATATCTATTACAATGGCTAAAATTTAAAAGACTGACCATATCAAGTGGCAAGGAAGAGGAGGAATTAGAACCGTCATATACTGCTGGTGGGAATTAAAAATGGTACAGCACTTTGGAAAACAGTTCAGCAGTTTCCTAAAAAGGTAAACACAGATCTACCCTATGGTAGAGTCATTCCACTCCTAAGTATTTACCCAAGGGAAATGAAAGCAAAGGTCAATACAAGGAGGACTTTCAGATGAATACTCATAACAGCTTTATTTGTAATATCCAAGAACTAGAAACAACTCAAGTCCAGTGGGTGAATAGATAAATAAGCCAAGGTATATCCATACGTAGAATACTGTTTGGCAATAAAAAGGAACAAAATTATTGATGTATGCTACAGGGGATGAATCTCAAAATAATTTTGCTGGGTGAAAAAAGCAAGACAAAAGAGCACGTACTGTATAATTCTATTTATATAAAATTGTAGAAATTATAATGACAGAAAGCAAAGCAGTGGTTATAGGGGAAAAAGAAAGGCAGGGAGTGCCAGAAGAAAGATATTACCAAAGAGGAAGAGAGATGACATATATGTTTATTATCTTGATTGTGGTGGAATTTGCATAGAAGTAAACAAAACCCAGCTCTACTTAACTATTACCAGTTTCTTGATTCTGAGTGAGAACTGAGTGAGGTACCCTTCCTCTGCTTTCTTAATCCCTGTTGCATACCTATATAACTTACCTTGTCTAAAAAGTACTTGTTTTTATATCTATCCTGCTAGTAGACTGAATTCCTTGAGGTTGTCTATTTCATTGTCATATCTCCAGGAGCTAGTTTACAGGGTCAAAAAAGTATTAGAATTAAAAGTGACAACAAACCTAACATTTATTGAGTGCTCACTATTTTGCAGGCACAATTCTAAGCAGTTTATTATCTCATTTAATTTTTACAATATGCTGTGTGTTCATTTTTATCACCTCAATGTACGGTTGCAGAAACTGATAACAGAATTTTAAATGACATGCCCACATGAGAACTTAAGCCCAGGCAATCTGGCTCCAGAACCCCTGTGCTTAGCTACCACTCTCCACTGTATATGCTGAAAGTAGTAACCTACCTTGTTTTAAACATTACTGCCTTCTACAATATGAATGTAATGGAAATACCACCCAGAGAATTTGGAAATTATAGTAATGAAAATTTGTCATTAATAATCCTTCCAGCAATGGTTATAGTTTATCTATTTATAGCATATTCCTTCTAGCTCATTCCTTTATGTATTAATTTATATAGTAAACATTCTTTTATGTAGTTTTAATTTAATTTGATATTTTGTTCCATTTAATTATATCATAACATTTTACATGTTACCATGTTATTATATCAGTAAATTTTAATGGTTGCAGAATATTCTCTTTCATGGATATAACATGATTTATTTAATCATTCCCTTTCCTTGGAATAGTAAGGAACATTTGGAATGTATGTTTTGTTAGGTTTCAATTTTATTTTTCACATTTAAAAATAGTGGTGTATTATTCATGTGGCTTCATATTTTATTTTTTAATGTTTTAGATCATTTCTAGGAACAGATTTGTTATTTGATATTAGGAAAGTATGTGGAGAGACAGTTAACTGTGTTTTTTGCTGTTTTCATCTGGGGCATTTACCAAAATGATATTTATTAAAAATTAGTATGTACAAGTAAAAAGTTTTAGGGAAACATTTAATTTGTAACCTCTTAGCAATACTTATGTTATTACAATTAAAGATACTAATGTAGATTAGTCAAATGCTTCAGTGAGATTACCATGGGATCTTATCAGAGTGAAAATTTATGAAGCAGAGTGACTATACATTTTATAATTTGTTAAAAAATAGTAAAAAATTATATACTTAAAGCTTATCAAATTGAGTCTGATTTTTTAATCTTTTGGAAAGTTACAAATATTCATCTTCTCCTGTGAGACAAATGAGGGAAATATAAAAGGCCAAAAGTAATAGCAGGAACCCTTGGAAGGAGAAGAGCTTAATGCAAATCTCAAAGGAACATGGACTTTTTTGTGTGTGACTTTACATTTATTGTGCGAAGACTTGAATTAGTTGCCATAACAATGACCTGGTAAAAGTGTTCTTGCAAATGTTCTCTTGGATTAATAGGTGGGGTAGGTATGACAACCTGCACAGGAAGAAAGAGAAAGCAAAGGCATAAAATAGAATTATTCACTTTCACTAAGATATATTCAAGTAAAACCGTTATACTCTAAGTCTTAAATAAATATTTATTCCATATAATAAATGGAAAGCTGGCATTCCCATTTTTAAAAACTAAGCAAGAAAAAAAATTAGAGGGAAGTTGAGACAAAAATTATTGGTCAGGTAATTGGTTAAATAATTTGTTAAACTAGAGATAGAACAATTTAGCATTGCTTTCCACTTTGGAAAGACAGATGATAGAAAAAATTCAGTGCTTTGGAGCCAGAATAACTTGGATTTGAATCCTGGCTTTGCTACTTGCTAACTTGTAAGGGCTTGTTACTCAAGTTTTCTGATTCTCATTTTTCTCATTCATACAATGTAGATACATTTATTTTATTTAACATACGCATAATTTATAAGTTTATGAATTTCAGTCATTCCAAGATATTTATTGAGAAACTACTAGTGAACAAAACAAAGTCCCTACTCACAAGGAGCTTACATCTCTTCTGATAGGGGGTGTCAGATAATAAACAAATAAATAGGCATATAACTTGTTGGGTGGTAAGTACACTGAAGAAAATAAAGCAGGGGAAGGGAATAGAAAAAGACCAGGATGGAGAAACTATCATGTGTTGAGGAGGGGTGTGGAATGCTGTTAAATACAAGATATTCAGGAAGTCCTTGCAATCTCTGGTTTGAGCAGAGATCTGAAGGAAGTGGCAGAAAAAAAACATGCAAATATCTGGGGAAAGAGCATTCCAGGAAGAAAGGGAATTATACATGCAAAGATTCTGAGATGGGAACATATTTGCTATGTCCAAGGAACAGTGAGGAGGCAAGGCCAATGATGCCAGGACAGAAATGTAAATGGTGGAAATAGCAGGAGATTAGATCAGAGGTACAGTCAGCAGGCAGATCATATAAGACCTGGCAGGACATCTAGGACTTTAAAATTCATTCCAAATGAGATAGGAGACAATGGAGAGTTCTGGATAGAGGAGTGACAAGATCTAAGGTTTTTACAAGTTTCATTCTGACTGCTCTGTTAATAATAGAGTCAAGCATGGTGAAGGTAGTTATGTTATGGGAAGAGTTGAAATGGGAGATCATTTAGGAAGTTAGTGCTGTCATCAAAGGTAGAGTTGGAGGTGGCATGGACCAGGGTGATAGATGTGGAGGGGTTAGATTTTGGATATATTTCAAAGAATAGATTACATCCTGATTAGGTGGGTGAATGTGAAAAGAAGAAAAGGTATCAAGGATCACTTTTTTTTTCTTTGCTTGTGCAACTTGAAGGATAGGGAAAACAGGGTGAAAGAGAATAGATTTGGGAGAGACTGTGAAAGAAGGAATTGTTTTGGACATTTTAAATATGAGATGTCTGTTAAGTGGTAGTTGCATAGTTCTGGGTGTAGAGTTTAGGGAGGAGGTTGGACTGGAGATAAAGATGTGGGAACCATCATAATAGGTGACATTTAAAGACATGGGACTTGATGGGCTGGCTGGTTAGCTCAGTTGGTTAGAGAGCGGTGTTATATCACCAAGGTCAAGGGTTTGGATCCTTGTACCGGCCAACCTCCAAAAACCAAAAATGAATAAATATAAAGACATGGGACTTGAGGAGTCACCAAGAGAGTGACAGTAGATAGAAGACAGACTAAGCCCAGGAGCCCTCCAGTACTTAGAGGTCAGCTAGGTAGGAGAAAACCATCAGAGGAGACTGAGAAGGAGCAGCCAGTGAGGTAGGAAGAAAACCAAGTGATGAAAGCATTCCAGGGTGTAGGGAGTGTCAACT